AATCTGAGTGATTTATGAGTTATTTTGCTAAGAAACGGAATACTAACCTATGAAGAGTCAATTAAGGTTGATTTTTGTTTTTTCTTGCACTACACATCACAACACAACATTTAGGCATCTTTACAACCAGTTTTTCTGCACTACCACGTATTTTAGCACATATTTTCTCTTAATAAAGTAGTATATCTCAATATTTCCAAATTGTAAACAAACTGATGACAGAACAAATACCACAAAACTCGTAACTTAATGGCGGAATTGGCACGTGCCTAAACTTTTGACAGATTTCTATGATATTTTAGCATTGAGTGGAATATGTCTGTCTCTTTCGTCAAACTCAATTGTACTGTGGAAAGAAAGAGATAAAGATATATTTTACGCTTTATGCCATAAATGCCTCGTATTTATATTTTTTTTTTCCATAATTACAGACTTAAGAGCGGATATCTCGAAAACTATACAAGATATCAAAAAACTCGACTGAATAAGACTTGTAGCAAATTTAATCAGCTTTCACTTTTGTCAAAGTCTCATGTCGCTAGGATGCATAGTTTCCGAGATATATGCGAAAACCCTAAAAATGGGACCTTCAATCCCCCCTTCCCCCACGGCTTAAGGGCTACGGGCGGGGACTTTTGATATGTTTACCTCCTAACTAGTCCTAACCATTGAGGTATAATGGTCCTAACAAAGTTACGAAGTCAAAAATTGTGTTCTAAGCATTTCGTTGCCTGGACTATTAATGACTACATAAATTAGTATCTATATGTTATTATCATGTATGAGCTATATTATTGTAAAGTTTCATTAAAATCCATTCAGTATTTATTAAGTGAAACAGTAACAAAGATCCATACATATCCATATATTTGTAAGATTGAAATTAAAAGCGTAAGTGGTTAATATACAACTTGAAATCGTTGTAGATCCTAAACAGTCATATAAAATGAAAAATGGTGTAGGGAGCCTAAACACGATTTTCGGTTCTCAGACAATGATACCCCACTCGACATATTTCGTCAACTTATTTTTTTTACTTCGTCACAATATCGCTCCTAATTGTCCCCACATTGATTTTTGATTACTATTATATCTTTAATATAATATCAAGATGGATAAACAAATGCAATTGTTATGGGCTAAAATGAAAGAAGAAATGGAAAAACAACAAGAAAAACAAACACAAATCATTAAGGAAACTATTAGCAAAACTATTGAGGAACAATTATCGCATATAAGGAAGGAAAATGAAGTGTTGAAAGAAGAAGTTGCAACTCTGAGATCTAAAGTGAAAATTTTAGACATTGAAGCTAGAAAAACAAACTTAATTTTGCACGGAGTAGAAGAAAACGAAACCAACAATACGGAACTCATGAAACAAGTGCTGGAATTACTAAACGACTTAAACAAAAGCCAAAATGCAACCCATGAATGGGACAAGTGGGAGATAAGCAAATTGCACAGAATTGGGAAAAAGGTTCAAAACAAAAATAGACCAATAAAGATAGTATTTACTCTAGTATGGCGTAGAAATGAAATACTTACAAACAAAAAACACCTTCCCAAGGGCATCTACATAACAGAGGACCTCACTAAAGAGGAAATGGATCTAAGGAAATCTTTATATGCGAAACTTAAGGAAGCAAGAGTATCAGGAAAATATGCCTACATAAAGCATGGAAAACTTATAATTAAAGACCAGCAAGAATCGGAAAAACGCAAGAGAGCATCATCTTCGCCACCCTCTACACCCCCCAATAGCTTCAGCAAAGTACAAGAAGAAGACATTGTAAAACAACCCACTAAATTCTCCAAAATTAATCCCAATCAAACAGTAAAGAATATAGCAAATTCAAAAAACTAGAAAACAATAGTTGCCGAAAAAATACAATAGATAAGATTAGTACAAAAATAAATCATAATAAAAACACAACAATATTCCCCAATCCGGTTGGTCACCGTGGGGAATTAGACCATTACCCTCCACACAAAGAACATGAAAACAAAGAACAGGAAAACAAAGAACATAAAAACAAAAAACAAAAACAAGAACTAATAAAGATATGTACCTACAATGTAAGAACACTCTCATCAGAAGAAAGATTTCTTGAATTAACACACGCCATGAAAAAAATAGATTGCGACATTTTAGGACTTGCAGAGGTAAGGAGAATGGGATGTAGTATTGAAGAGTACAAGGATTACATTTTACTCTACATAGGAGAAACAGAAGGTCTATATGGGGTCGGTTTTCTAATAAAGAAAAAATTTAAACTAAACATAGTAAACTTCATAGGCATATCGGAAAGAGTGGCTGTATTGCAACTTAAACTTTGAGACGAGGCTATAACACTGATCCAGGTGTACGCCCCGACAGAAAGATCAACAGACGAAGAAATTTGTCAGTTCTATAACGACTTAAAAACAGCAAACGATATGTCAGAAAAAACCACACTAGTAATGGGCGATTTTAATGCAAAAATAGGACACACAAAAGCCCATGAAGATCTTATAATGGGAAAATATGGATATGGAAGTCGAAACGAAAGAGGTGAAAAATTAATTGAATATGCCAATGAAAATAAACTTTCTATAATGAATACATTTTTCAAAAAGAAACAGAGTCGGAAATGGACGTGGCAATCACCAGATACACGAACTAAAAATGAAATAGATTTTGTAATGTGTAACAAACCTAAAAGAATCACAAATGTTGAAGTCCTAAACCAAATACACTTTGCATCTGACCATAGACCAGTAAGAGCTTCTTTCCAAGTAAAACCAAACAAACTAAGTAGAAAGTCATTTAAACCCATACCGAGAATACCGAAAACCGACGAAGAAATAACAACATGCCTTAACAATCTAAAAGCAAACATACAAATGAACCTAGAAATATTACAACACTCTAAAGAAGTCGAAACATACTCTAACAAACTAGCAGAAATCATAACAACGAGCCTGAAAATGGAAAAAGGAAATCACAAAAATAATAAACACAAAATAATGAGTGAGATAACAATAAATTTAATAACCAAACGCACAGAACTAATAAAAACCAAAAATAAGAGCAAAAAACAAAAAGAACTAAAAGATCTATTCAAAAAGACAAACAAATCGATTAAAGAGGACTACAAAAACTACAGACAGAGGATAATCCAAGAAAAACTAACAAAATTTCGAAGCTTAAAACGAGCGTACAAAGACCTTAAAACACATGAAAAATGGATTCAAAAACTAAAAAAAGGGAAAAAAGAAACAAAATCCCGAAATGACATTATGAACTGCGCTACTGAATTTTATACAAAATTATATAGGAAAACAAAAGAAGACATAGGAAATGTAGAAATTGAACACCCAACAGAAAGAGAAAATCTCACAATAGATCCCATAACAGAAACAGAGGTACTAACCCATATAAAGAAACTAAAATCAGAGAAGACCCCAGGCCCAGACGGCATTAGTAATGAAGCAATAAAACTCGGTGCACCAATCATAATCACCTTCTTAACAGACCTGTTTAATTTAATTCTAGAATATGAGATAGTACCAAAACAATGGCTTCACTCAGACATCATACTACTTTATAAAAAAGGCGATCCCACAGATATTTCGAACTATCGACCAATAAGTCTACTATCAAGCACCTACAAACTATTCACATCCATACTAACTGCAAGAATAGCTGCTAATATAGATAACCACCAACCACCCGAACAAGCTGGATTTCGTTCAAATTTCTCAACAATAGATCATATTCACACAATAGAACAAATCATGGAAAAGTATAAAGAATACAACAGACCATTATATATAGCCTTTGTAGATTATACAAAGGCCTTCGACAGCATTACACACAGTTCAATATGGAAAGCACTCAACACATGTAAAATAAATAATAAATACATAAATATTTTAAAAAACATATACTGTAACAGTGTAAGCAGACTGCGATTAGAAAACTATGGGAAAGAAATCAAAATAGAAAGAGGTGTTAGACAGGGAGATCCGCTGTCACCTAAGTTGTTCATCGCTGTCCTAGAAAATATATTCCAATCTATAGAATGGAAGAATAAAGGTATAATAATACAAAATCAACACCTAAGTCATCTAAGATTTGCCGACGATATTGCCTTGTTTGCAGAAACAGCTCCAGAAATAGAAAATATGTTAAAATCACTGGACACACAGAGTAAAATAGTGGGATTACACATGAATCCTAGCAAAACGAAAATAATGACTAATGCAGAAAATAAACCAATAACAATTGAAGAAAAAGATATAGAATATGTAAATGAATATATATATTTAGGAAAACAGGTATCATTCAGAGCAAACAGTAACGAAGAAGAAGTGGATAGAAGAATAAATTCTACATGGAAGAAATATTGGGCACACAAAGAAATCCTAAAAGGCAATCTCGATATATCACTAAAAAAGACAGTAGTAGACACATGCCTATTACCAAGCCTACTGTACGGATGTCAAACTTGGGTTTATACAAATAAAATAAAAAACAAAATTACTACATGCCAGAGAGCAATAGAAAGAAGCATGCTAAAATTAAGGAGAATAGACAAAATAAGGTGTACAGACATAAGGAGCAAAACTGGACTAACAGATGCTCTGGAACAGGCCCTTAAACTTAAATGGAAATGGGCGGGTCATCTGTCAAGATATACCGACAAAAGGTGGTCCCTCAAGTCCACTGGATGGTCCGGACCAAAAGGCAAAAGAAAAGTAGGCAGACCCAGAAAACGATGGTCCGACGATATTGTGTCTGTGGCAGGCAGGGACTGGCTGAAGGCGGGGAAAGATAGAGAAAAGTGGAAAGCAATGGAGGAGGCTTTTACCCAGATGGGATCCATATCTGAAACTGTACTAACAAATACTAAAAACCAACATAATACTTAGGTTTACTAACAAACTAACATAAATAAAATGTAGAAGTAACCAATGGATATGGAATAAAAAGCTTTTTTATTTTATTTTATTTTATTTATTATATCTTTAGTAGCACTCCCATGATTAAGACGAATCGATTGATGTATGAATCATCAAAATCGGTCCACGCGTTTGGTCTCTAGTGCCACAAAGGAACAAACATACATATATAGGCTGTTAAACACTATACCCTGTCTGCGCTTCGCGCTCTTGCATTGCGCAGTCGGGTAAAAAAGTGTCTTCCGATTTTAGCCACATGCCACAAGATCTTGGTTGCACTTTAGTTGTATTGCCTTAAGATATTTTATATTAGCGCTATTGAGGCAAAGTTATGTAGTGCAGATTTCAACCACCTTTCATGAACCAATAGTAACAGTCTAATCAATGCTCTACTAGATTGATGAAGAGTGGTCTAATGAATGACCTAATATTTTTTGCATATTGTGTTTCTTTATTATAAAACTGTAACGAAGAAATTGTTTTATAACAGTCCACTCTACAAGCTTGCAATTGTTATTGTTGCCTTGTTAATTTATCCTTCCTTGAACTGATCTTAAAATAGACTGCTTGAATCTTGACTCTGAAAATATTAGGTTTATTATTTGACTTTTTCTAATAATATCCAATAAAATTAATAATGCATGTCTAGATATTTTAATTTCAATCTTACCTTTGAGTACATTAGGTAAATCCCTGATTGGTCTGCAATACCTAACAGTCACATAAAATAACAAAGGAAGAAGTGCAATAATTCCTGTGCAACACAGGAATATCAATTCTGGTGTCTTCCTGATGTCACAGCAGTGTAAGGTTTTACTCCAAATTGATCTTGTAGTATTCATCTGAGAAAAAAAAATCTTTAAAATACTGAGATAATTAATATGAGTAAGTATTATGAAGCAGACTTTTATTTAGATTTATACATTGAGAATTGCAGCACTATTAAATAAGTGACAAGTGAATAAAAGGTATTATTACTTTAGAAGTCTGACAAACAGTTTTTTTTTTACAGGAGTATGACCAAGAAAGAGTCGTGAGATTATTAGCTCAAAATTATTTTTATAAATAAACAAGGTTATATCTCACCGAATCCACAATATCCATACAAATGCTATCAACCCCAATAGAGTCTTTGCTTAGAGATTTGTAAAAATCATCTAATGCAACATAGGACTGCATACAATTCAAACAAATTTCTTGTGTGTCATTTTGTAAGGGATTCATATTATTTGTAATGCAATTTATTGTGTTGCTGAACATATTGTTGAAAACCATTGTGCTATTTTTTATTTTTGGTACATTAGCGGACCAATCAAAGCAGTCTGTAACAAATTAATAATTATTCAATATTATAAAACAAGTGAATGCAATAGAAATCAAATGTCATGCTCACTCACCACTACAGTGTCCTTTATCCCATATTGTAATTATATTATTATAATACTCTTGGAAAGCATTTAATCTATCTTGTGAAATGAAAAATGAGAGGCATGAGGTATTATTTACGATGGTGTTTTCTAATTTTAAATAATTTGTTTGAAACTCTACATAATGTTTCACACATTTTTCACAGAGTCTTATTGGTCTAGCATATTTAATTGAACATAGTGTAAAGTTGGAAACAGTCTCGGCAAATACGTCAAGGAGTGCAGAACATTGTTCAGGTAATACCAATTTATAATCTTTTTCAATGTACACACTGAAAAGATAAAAAGATTAGTTAAAACATCAATTCAATTTATAAATAGACATTGAGGTATTGATTGTGCAGCAACTTATATTTTTAATGACCTGTTAAAAATGTAAAAACAAGGATTAAACTAACTTTATCAAGGAATCATCATGTTTTTCTGCCTCCAAACCATTAGAAACAATAACTATTAACAATGTATGTAGGAATCTATGTAATACAATCATGGTGAGAATGAGATCTTTGTGTATGCAGTTTGGTAATAAATTAATAAGGAAAGAACAAAATATTAACTATTAATACGTAAAATAATTCACAGGTTCAAGCAGATTTTTATTTGTTTACCTAGCGTTTGCTTGTAATAGCCTCCCTATAAGGGAAGGCAAAGAATACAGTCGCTGAGATCCAAACTATGTCTATGGATCTAAATTAAGTCCCTACGCACTATCCATCATATTAGAACTAAAATGCAAGACGGCGCTATACACGTAATAAAGATGGAGATGCAGAATCTTTTAAGTATTTATCGCTCAGCCAGCGTGACCAACCTTAAATTAGAGATCCTACCCCGATTAGGCAAAAAACTGACAAATCCTTCCAAAATTTTAAGCTTAAAATGCCGAAATAATGCCAATATAGATCGACAACGCTGATCTGTCTTTTAATGACATTGACATTCGTATGCTTAGTAGTGGTTGCATGTTCTTATATAATAGATAACGTAGGCATCAACTTAGTGTTACATGTTTTACACAATGCAACATCTTCATCTTTCGTTTTTGATAACCACGCCGAAAGTGATGGATCTTGCTCCCACTACGCGATGTAATCGTGAATATTTACGTTTCATGGTATTATGGTAACCATTCACACACACTGCACGAAATCAGAAACAAAACAAAATTGTGTCTCCGACAGTTTTTCTAGTCCGACTAATTACATAAACAACTGACTAATAAAAGTAAAGGTAATATAAACATTATGTTCCGCACTTTAATGCGCTTACCACACGCACAAGCTTCACCACAGTTTGGCCTGCGCAAGCATCTCGCACGAAAAAACTGTACACTTTGTGCGTTACCACACGGCACAGTTAAGTACGCGCAAGCCTCATTCTTATCGAAATCATTGGCGTGGAAACAATGTTTCCTAATGAAGAAACATTTCTTATGCTACTATTTTTCAAGTGTTTGCTATTAAAAAAAACATGTAAAAACGATAGGATATGTACATAATATGTGCAAGTAGGTAGGTAGTAGGTATTAGGCATAGGTATTTAGTTGCAAAAATTATGTTCATACCTCTTTCATTTTATTTATCATTCTTTCGTAGGCGTCGTTCTTTTTATTTCGGTCGGAATAATCTTTAGATTTAAATTTCCAGAGTGCAGGCAGAGATTTGTATTAACTAATTAATTCAGACGTGAATTCGCGATTGTACGTACGCAAATCTACCATTTTTGTGTGACGATGACGAACGACCTCGTGAAACGACGAGCGAGCCTCGACACAAAGTACACTCGACTGTGGCTTGAACACTGAACGCCCAACCACACGCACAGACAAGTACGCGCAGGCCGGGCTTGCGCAGGCAAAATTTCAAGCAAGTCGAAAATTGCGCAGGCCGCGCTGTGGGGTTGGCGCGTGATACAGTTTTACCAACTACACGCACCGTGTTCCGTGTACAAACCGGCCTGCGCAGGCAAAACTGTGGTGAAGCTTGTGCGTGTGGTAGGCCCATAAGATTTACAATGGAGTGAACTACAAATTCGACCAGAGATGTTATGGGAAATCCCCGAAACAAAGGAATCGTTGCCAATGTTGCCATTGGCATTTTAAAATTCCTACCTACTGTTTTTTCTTTTGTCGATCCGCACCCTACTCATTTAAATGAATAAAAAAAGTTTAAACTTAAAGCTAAATACTGCCAGATTTCTAAAATGTCAAACAAATATGCCACAGAGTAAAATAAAGGGCTACACCTGCCGAAAAGACAGGATCCTGCCACATATGGTCACACTGCGCTCAGCGTTGCCTTGCTATACGTCCCGATTTTTAAATCAAAATTAAATGTCCCCCGCGGGACAGGCTCAATCTCGCTTTTCGGGAATAACTCGACCGTGCGTGCAGCACACTGAGAAAGCGCGGGCGGGGGGCACAGACAAATGTGGACTCTACTATTAAGATAGGGTAAATCTGATTTAAAATATCATATTTTTATTACAATACATTTTCTATGGATATTTATACTAGGTACCTATCTATTGTCATGTAAACGTAATTTGTACTCAAATAAAAAGATAAATATTCAAAAACTTTTGATTATATACTTTTTTATACTATGTCCCGTTTTCGACGAAAGATCCCGCTTTTTTTACTCAAAATGTTCCTAAATACCGACTGGGCAAAAAAAAAAACTGGCAACGCTGATATCACTGTCCCCGCATGCTTTATCCAATATCCAGCAAGATGGATAGTGCGCAGAAGACATCACCGATTGACATCATAGAAATAGATTGGTAATTATAGGCTATTGTCAGAGATGTAAAAGATACAATAAAAAAAGTATCTGAAATCCAAGATACCAGGTAGTCAAGTATTTAGATAACAGATACAAGACACGTATTTGCAAAATACTTTTTTTTAAGATAATTATACTTTTTTAAACAAAACATGTTAGCAATATAGCCAGTCCGCTGTGCCTGTTTTTTGAAAACACACGACCCTAAAGACGCTGTTCTTTCAATCTACGATAGGTCTTACTTTCATTCACGTTTATCCAGTATTTATCAAGAACTATGAATTAATGATAGTTTCGGTGTAATTTTTTTTCAATATTCTGAAAGTGCAGGGTGTTTAAAATTGGTTGGGTTTGGGATGGGTGACCGCGATTATTAATAATATGCAGGTTGTTTACGATTGGTTGGGTTTGGAATGAGTGACCGCGAATGTTAATAATATGCTGGTTGTTTACGATTAGTTGGATTTGGGATGGGTGACTGCGATTATTAATAATATGCACTGTTTGCGAATGATCATGTTCGGGCCGACCAGGGCCCGCACCCCCACCTCCAGGGCATAGCCCCAATTCCCATCCCAAGTAACTCTGCTTCCTCCACAGGTTCCGGCCGACATCGAAAGGCTCCTCGTTTAACACCACGCAGCCTGTTCTCGCCGCCGCCCAACCCCAACCTTCCCATAAATCCTTTATCCTCCCCAACCCAACAAACCTAAATTAGTCCTCACCCGTAACTTGCCTAAGTCGCGGCCTGCTCGCTGGCGCTAGCTGGGCCTCCCCCCAGGGGGTCTCACCCGGCATGGCAGACCGCGCTGAGGGCCGCGCAGCAAGCTCCCTGGCGAGAGCAGGCAGGAAGAGGAGGAGGAGCAAGAAGCAGAGGGCTCGTCACCTAGACGGCCGCTGACCAGCGGCACCCAACCCCGCGGGGGCGCACCCCCGCGAGAAGCAGCCCGGGGAAAGAAATCCAATAGGGAAGATGCACATATAATATTTATGAAAATTTTATGATTAAAATGTTAAAAAAATATAAAAGAAATGCTACTGCAACGTTTTTATTTTACATAATGTTGTTTTTTAACAATTATTACGAATTAAAAATACTTGAAACGGAACGTATTTTAAAACACCAATCAGCGTTTAGTGACGTCTCTCCTGTTATGACAACTTCTTTGAGGTATGGTTGTTAAAGTAAATATTATTTTATGGGAATATTTATTGCGTTTTTTACATTTAATAAAAATGGAAGTTGCGTTTATCAAAGCAGACTCCAGGAATTTACCAAGAGTTAGCGTTGACATGGTTATAACTTTTTTTGTCCAAAATGCAGAGTTTTTAAGTGTAGAAATGAAAGGGACTAAATTACTACGGTATGCAAAAATCGTAGTTGTTAAACTTCGTATTTTATTCAGCGGCTTCTACAAATCTTACGGCGATAATGCAATCGGCTATGTCCAAATTAAAAGAGATGGAAAATTATGTACAGTAAAAGGTCGAGTTCTCCGGAGCATAAAATACGTAAAAAAGGTTATCGTGTTACAGTTATTTTAAATGAAACGCAAAGCTTGGTTCAGTCCTGCCAATGTGAAGACTGTGCCACACATTTTAAACTTTATCTAATTTTCGACGTCATTCTCCAACTGTAAAATTAAAAATATGTTATAGACAGGTTTTGTAAGTATTAGGTAGGTGACTAATGCGTTTTTACGCACAAGCAGATTAATTAAGCATATAACAAGTATATTCGCCAACTTACGTCAAAGTGATCTTCTCAGCATCGATTAATGGTCTTTGGAGAATAATTGTCATTTCTCTTCGCAGCTTGAAACCACTTTTTTCAGTTTTGGGTCAGAAGTTCCAGTCAAAAACAATTTATTTGGGAACTTTGTTGAAGTAGATTGGCACAAAACATGAGTCAACACGGCTTTTTTTCGGAATATTAGTGGTATTGTTATGATCACATGATGTTGATGGATAGTCCATTTTAAATTTTTCAAAAAAATATTTCGAAAGTCGGAAAAAATATGCAAAAGTATGAAAATTTAAAGCCAGCAACGAACAATAACGACCAGTGACAGACAGGAGTGACGTCATCGCAACCATAGGTTCGTTTTCGCGCGAAAATTTAAATTGTCAATTTAAAACCGCATTTTTTCCGATAAATCACAATGTTTTAATTTTTTAATATATCTGTGTTTTATTCTACATGGAATTCTTTAAAATTAAAACAAAAATAAAAATATTGCATCTTCCCTATTTCGCACCCGAACCTGTCGAAGACAGAAGATCACGAACGAATGATCATGTTCAAGAGATGATATCATTAATAAGCTCCGATCTCTCTAATTATTTGTAAAAATAACCTAACTAAACAGACAAAAAATTCAAAAGACTCTTCTTCCTCTAGTGAACGCTAACAAAAAATTCATAACTTAGGGGAAGGGGGAAGTAACGTATTTTTTGTTCGCTACCACCTAACCCATAACATTAAGATGAACGAGACGGCAACATATGAACTTCTGATTTTCTTTTCACGGTGAACAAAGTTGATAGAAAAGTAAAGCACTTAGGCTTAGAATAGTAACGCGCTATGTTACAACAATGCATGTGTTATAAATCAATTTTGAAAATTATTTTAATAAAAAGTATCTTAGTAAAAAAAGTATCTTCAATATACTAAGATACTGAAAAAAGTATTTAAATAGAAGATACAAAAGAAATTTCAAAAAAGTATTTGAAATACAAGATACAAATACGTATTTTGTATCTGTATCTTAGATAAGTCACATCTGTGGCTATTGTAAAGTTTACCAAGTTAAATAGCAAACACGGATAGTCAAGTAGAATGCTGGTATTAGCAAATAGGCCTACAGTGGTGTGGACTCTGGCAGGATTCTCTAAATTAGAAAGTAAATATGACAACAGTGTATCCTTGTCATTCTCTACACAGAATGAGTAGGGGGGACTGTTATCAATTTAAGTTTGGGTTTAGAGAATTATGCCAGAATCGACACCAGTGTATCCTTGTCATTCTCTACACAGGATGAAAAGGAGAGACTGATGTTTTTAGTCTGAAGTTTAGAGAATCAAGCCAAATTCGACACTAGTGTGACAATGATTTTTACTCTGAGTACTGAAACCTATGGCGAAGTCATACCTAGATAAAAAACTTCATTATTTGCTGCTCGCATATAATTCAAAAAATAAATAATTTGTAGGTAGCGGCCTAATTATAAAGCATCCTTAAAGACTGCTATCCAAAGCTATGAATTACTGGCTGTAATGTTGTACTATCAAATGCGTAGATCTAAAGCCATGATGACATTAAATTCGATGTTCCGATGAAAAAAAAAACTGTCATGCTCTATATGAAATGAAATGAAATGAAATGAAAAGTCATTTATTCAGTCTAGGCTGTTACAAGCACTTGTGAAAGTCAAGAAGCTACGCCATCGGTTCGCAAAACTACGGCGGGAGACCTTGTACTGAGAAGAACCAGCAAGAAACTCAGCAAGGGCTGCTTTTTTCTCCCTGTATTGATATATACAGAGTCGTCAAGTTGAAAAATGACTTCAGACATACTTCTGAAGTCACCTTCCATTACATTATTTAGGGTATAGATATATAGTTACAACAAATTTTATATTTAGTATATATAGGAAGCGGCATTAGATAGGTACCATACTACTGTTACAAAACTGACTCATACCCATCAAATAAGAAATTACAAGAAACACTATGTCCATGGATTACGATCATTTAGATAATCATTAACTTTATAATAGCCCTTATTCATAAGAGTATTCTTAATCTGAGATTTAAATTTGGTTAGTGGAAGCTCAATCAGATCTTGGGGAACTTTGTTAAACAATGCAATACTACATCCCAGAAATGAACCTCTAGATTTTTGGAGTCTGAAACATGGAACGGCAAGCTTGTTCTTAAATCTCGTGTTTAAGTTATGGGTTTGACTTTTTTTTGCAAATGCGTCATAGTTTCTTCTTACATATATTATATTTTCATAAATGTATTGCGATGCCAGTGTTAAAATATTAATTTCTTTAAATTTTTCTCTAAGAGATTCTCTTGCCTTTAAATTATATATGGCGCGAACAGCTCTCTTTTGCAGTACGAAAATACTTTCTATATTAGCAGCTGAGCCCCACAACAAAAGGCCATATGACATAACGCTATGAAAGTAACCAAAGTAAACCATTCTTGCCGTTTCCACATCAGTTAGGAGTCTTATTTTTTTAACAGCGAAGGCCGCAGAGCTCAGTCTACTTGATAAGGCATCAATATGAGGATCCCATTGCAGATGCGAGTCTAAAGTAATACCCAGAAACTTTGTAGAATCCACTAACTCTACAGGCTGCTCATTTATTTTTAAACTAGTATTAACCTGCCTCACATTAGGTAAAGTAAACTTAACACATTTTGTTTTGCTAGAGTTTAGTTT